TCACTAGTCCAGTGCGTAGATACACGCACGCACCAAGCACGTTTCCGTCTTCTTCCTGGTCTGCCAGGCTGTGTCGAACAGCTGGTGCACTGTGATGCAGTTCCACGTGGCGACGCAGTTCTTTTCACATGTACTTAAAATCCCACGTGAGATTGTAAGTACGTGTGGTAAATGGTTTCCTTGCTCTGCCCCCTGCTTGGCCCACAGGGCTGCACGTGGCCTGTCTCGGAAAAAGTACTTCCTAGGTATGCCACAAGGGCTTCTGGGGCCAAGGCCACCTCCTTGCCAGGGTGTTTGCTATTCCAGTCAGGTAATCTAGGTGATACGGGTTTGGTTTGGAGCCCACCTTCCAAGAACGAAAGGGACCTCTCACCGCTCTGCCCCACATTTTGCAGTCTGCATTCACTGGCTAAAAGACTCTGGGGTTTTCTGCCTCAGCCGGAAACGTGGGGCCTTGCCATGTTAGCACCTAGGAGCTTGCAGTGAGGGTCGGACATTAAGAGAGGCGGTGGCGGAGGCCGTATGTAGTTCACTCTCTGGGGTCCTGTCCTCTGTGCGGTGCCAGCTCTGAGTAGCCTTCGGTAGTAGGGGAGCGGGGACCACCCTTGCTTTCCTGCTACTCCTTCAGCCCTGTTCTGTGCCAGGCCTCATTCTGGACACTCTGTGCATTGTCTCATGTGGTCTTCACCACCCTCTCCTGGTTGTGGGCTGCCAGAGGGGTGTACCAGGCCCCGCAGCTGACCTGCCTCCTCTGCCTTCTCGATTCCTGCAGATCACACAGACAGAGGTGCAGCAAGGGCAGCAGCAGTTCAGCCAGTTCACGGACGGACAGGTAGGACACCCAGGCTGGGCAGGGGCCGGGGGTGAGGGGTTGTCGGGGTAGCTGCTGAGATCTCTGGGTTTGGATGCTTAGGGCAACTGTCCCATTTTCTGTTGACGAGTGGGCAGGAATTGTTAAAGCAAGTACGGTCTTTAATTCGGAGTGCCAGTCCTTTAGATTTAGGCTTGTGGGAGCTGAAAACAATCTTACAGTCCCAATTCCCATTTTACAGATGAGTAAAAACTGAGTCCTAGAGATGAGAAGTGTCTTGTTCACTCAGCTCTTCATTGCAGAACCAGGATTAGAATACAGGTCTTCTGTTTCCCTTTCTAGGACTTGTTCTTTTTCTAAGCGAGGCTGCTTTTTAATAGCATGGATTAGTTGAAATGCAGAGAACATGTGACCTCTCGAGCTCTCTTGGTGCCTGGAATTCAGTAATTCTAAACTCCTGTGAGGAAGGAATCTTTCCCTTTCCCTCCGCCTTTTCCCTCATAACTAACTGTCCCAGAGACCCCTGAAATCCGTGACAGGATGACACGCCCAAGCCCATGTTCTCTGCTGCCCAGAAGGGAGAGGAGCTGGCATCAGGACCCACCTCTGGCCCCTGCCCCCTACCACGTGCTAGGCTCACATGCCAGGGCTCCTGTTAAGGGGGGGGTCTTTGCCTGTGGGCTTTTTGGGGGGACACCTGAGAAATCAAGTGTCCTTTTGGCTCTGTCCTTCCATAGTGGCTATGTGAGCTGCTTCTCAGTGCCTCACAGGTCTTGGCTCAGTAAGTGTTTAAACCCAGGCCCCCTCCTCAGCAGCGCCCATGTAGGAAATGCAGGTTCAGTGTAGCCTCAGCCTGAGCCAGATACTCTGAGGAAAGGAGGAGGAGGGGGGTCATCCTACTGCCCCTGCTAGTGAGGAGTACCAAGAGTTGGGGAAATGCGGACTTCCAACCTGCTGGTACAGTGGTTCGAATTGCTTGTGTTTGTCACAGAGGAACAGCGTGCAGCAAGCTCGAGGCTCTGAGCTAACGGGAGAGGCAGAGCCCAGAGAAGTGAAAGCCACAGGAAATGCAACTCCCTGCACCTCTTCCCCGCCCACCACACACCCCCCCTCACACCAGGCCGGAGCCTCCTGTGTCTGCTGCTCCCAGCCCCAGCAGAGCTCCACATCCCCTCCTCCCTCCGATGCCTTACAGTGGGTGGTGGTTGAGGTATCTGGGGCCCCCAGCCAACTCGAGGCCCCTAGGGAGCTGCATGCCCCTCTCCCAGGGGTGACCTCACTCTCTCCTCTCCACCCCTCGCAGCAGCTCTACCAGATCCAGCAAGTCACCATGCCTGCCGGCCAGGACCTCGCCCAGCCCATGTTCATCCAGTCAGCCAACCAGCCCTCCGACGGGCAGGCCCCCCAGGTGACCGGCGACTGAGGGCCTGAGCTGGCGAGGCCAAGGACACCCAACACAATTTTTGCCATACAGCCCCGGGCGATGGGCACAGCCTCCCTCCCCAGAGGACCCGGCCGACCTCCGCGCCTCCTGCAGGGCTAGGACACTGGTGCACTACACCCCACGCCTGGGGGCCGAGAGTCTCCAACAGAAAGATGCAATATTTTTTATTTCCCTTTTTCCATTTTTTCTCCAAGGAATCAATATTTCAGTATGTTGAGCTGTGTGTCCAATGCTATGAAATGAAAATATTAAATAACATATTTATGGCATTTTCTTGAAGAGTGTGGTTGAAGAAATACTTCTTTTGTTTTCCTTTTTTTTTTTTTTTTTTTTATTCTTACCGCCACTTCTTTTCAGGAGCAAATCTCCTCAGGAGGGTACGTTACCTCCTGACTCTTGGAACAGCTGCTGCCCCCAGGATTTGCCACCTCGTTCTGCCCTCAGATTGAGTTAGGTGACCGCGTAGCTTCCTGTTCACTAGTGGTCCTCTCCCGCGACCCTGCGTTTCACCCAGAGCTCTGTGTGTTTGCACCCAGAGGCCATGGAAACATTCCTTGCATTTAAGAGATGAACTCATTCGCCATGGAGAGTGGATGGTTTCATTTCCAAACCCTTCTCTCCCAGGGACCCAAGGAGACTAGAACTTTGTGCATTTGCCTGCCCCCACCCCCATTTTTTATTTTTAAAATGCATTAAAAATTGTGCTAGTCTCCTTTGCTGCATGGACTTCAAACTGCATGAAATGCAATAAATCTCATTTTAGATAATTTAGAGTCTGGGTTTCTGTGTCTGGGGGCATTCACGGGACCACTTTGGGAAGCTTGGGAAGGTTTGTTTGCCCTCAGGTTGGGTGTCTATGAAGGAGGGGGACTCTTGTGAGGAGGGGACTTCAAAGCGAAGTGAAGTTATGCTACATCTGATTCAAATGGAGGTCTTCAGCTGACTTTGAAGATGAACTACATCAGAATCTATTTGCTGCTCAGAGGTGGCTGCCTGCCTTACTTAGACTACCGCAGGTGGGCCAGATTCAGCTGTGTCCTGCTGGCTTGTTGAGGGTCAAGAGAGCATCTCTCACGGAAGAAACTGTCGCTGTCCTTCAGACAAGTCCCTCCGCTTCTGTGACACGGACTGGTATCCCGAGCTGCCTCCTGTGGTCATGCCCACTCCAGAGGCATGGTCTCTGGCACGGTGGGCAGCCCAAGCTCCTTGTCAGCCAGCAGCAGGCCAGAAGGCTTCTAGAGCCGGGGCCCACTTCCTAGTCATTGAAGCAGGAAGAACAGAGCATTCCATTTCTTGATTGGCTTTCATAGGCCATGGAGGCCAGCAGTGAGCCACCTTCCTAACCTTCGCCATGCCATCCTTCAACCGGGATGAGGCCTGTTGTCATGGGAAGATCAGAGAACTGAGTGCCAGGAAAAAGTAGGTTATTAATTTCTTCTGATGGTAATGTGCCATAAAACCTTGGCACTCCCATCAGGGAAATCCAAATCAAAACCTCAATGAGATACCACCTCACACCAGTCAGAATGGCTAAAATTAACAAGTCAGGGAACGACAGATGTTGGCAGGGATGTGGAGAAAGGGGAACCCTCCTACACTGTTGGTGGGAATGCAAGCTGGTGCAACCACTCTGGAAAACAGTATGGAGGTTCCTCAAACAGTTGAAATTAAAGCTACCATTCGATCCAGCAATTGCACTACTGGGTATTTACCACAAAGATACAAATGTAGGGACCCGAAGGGGTACGTGCACCCCAATGTTTATAGCAGCAATGTCCACAATAGCCAAACTGTGGAAAGAGCCAAGATGTCCATCGAGAGATGAATGGATAAAGAAGATGTGGTATATATACACAATGGAATATTATGCAGCCATCAAAAGGAATGAGATCTTGCCATTTGCAACGACGTGGATGGAACTGGAGGGTGTTATGCTTAGTGAAATAAGTCAATCAGAGAAAGACATGTATCATATGACCTCACTGATATGAGGAATTCTTAATCTCAGGAACAAACTGAGTGTTACTGGAGTGGTTGGGGGTGGGAGGGATGGGGTGGCTGGGTGATAGACATTGGGGAGGGTATGTGCTACGGTGAGTGCTGTGAATTGTGCAAGACTGCTGAATCACAGATCTGTACTTCTGAAACAACGCAACATATTTTAAGAAAAAAGAAAAGATAGCAGGAGAGGAAGAATGAAGGGGAGTAAGTCAGAGGGGAGGTGAACCATGAGAGACGATGGACTCTGAAAAACAAACTGAGGGTTCTAGAGGGGAGGAGGGTAGGGGGATGGGTTAGCCTGGTGATGGGTATTAAAGAGGGCACATTCTGCATGGAGCACTGGGTGTTATGAACAAACAATGAATCATGGAACACTACATCAAAAACTAATGTTGTAATATATGGTGATTAACATAACAATAAAAAATTAAAAAAAAACACACCTTGGCACTCCCTTCTCTTTGGACTATCTTAAGGGGTGCGGGGATAGGGAAGGGGCTTTGGTACTAGGTGATTGCAAGTCTCACCCTGATAACCTGGTGATTCTCCCACCAAATGCCCCCCACTGTCAGCCATGGTAAGTACTTGGACATCCATCATCTACTAATTTTCAGTCATTTACCTAAGTGTACCTTTCTTCATTCCACAAGAAAAATTAAGATGGCTTGCATTGAAAATATACACAATGAAACAATAAAATATGACAAATTAGAATTAGGAAAAATATAATTGAGTAGGAAATCGGGATCATAAAAAGCAAGAACACAAACATTCTGGCCATAATACAAACCTACATAGTTGTTAGAATTCTATTTCACATTTGACCCTGGGCTTCCTGGCCGCCAAAGCAAAGAGAAAGATGAGACCAGGTAGAGATTCATACTATACATTCTCTTGCAAAAAGCAAAGATTTTCTTAGTTTTGAGGTTTGGGATACATGGTGTCCCTCCGGTGATACCTTGGGAGGAGAAGCAGGTGGTACTCTGATAAGAAGTCAGTGGGTGGGTCTGCCCCACAGGCTTCTTCCTGACTCCCAAGTTTAGTGCCCACCCCCCTCCTGTATCCAGTTCTCTTCGTTCTCGCTCCAGACTTTTCTCTGAAGGGGATCATCTGGCCTTTCCCACTGTCCTGTGGGAAGTCTCAGACATGCAGATAACTCCTGAAAGCCCAGCCCCACGGGGGAGAGAGGCAAGCTCGGGGGACCCTGGCCTCAGGAAAGGCAGCAGCTCGGCTCTTTCATTTCCTGGCTGAGCCCCCACGTTGAGCCCACAGCACTGCCCCACTTTGCTGCTCTTCAACTCGTTCCTGAAAACCCAAGTAGTTGGATTTTCACAGCAGTCAGTGGGGCCCCGTTTCCCACGGACGTCCATTCTTATTTTGGAGATGTTTCGATCAGTTGTGATTGGCAAGCAGCTTTCTGACTGAGCACGTTCCCTTTAAATTTCCCCGCCAGCAGGGCCCATCTGGGTGTAAACAAACACTTTAGTGCAGCCCAAGAGAGCCCCTATCTAATCCCCAGCACGATCCCCTTACATCCGGAGCATGCTTTCAACATTTTTCCTAGCACTTTTCGGCATCCATCCTCCCAATGATCTTCAGGTGACCCTGCAGGGGAGACAGGAAGAGGGATCATGATCCTGTGTTACAGATGGAGACATGGGAGGCCCAGCAAAGTGCAGGGACTTGCCCAAGGTCACACCATGAATTGGGGTGGAGCTGAAGCCAAAATACAGGTCTCCTGACCCCTTGTGCATACAGAGTGGCTTTCCAGCCGAAGGTGGTGGCCGTGGTGGTGGTGGTGGTGGTGGTGGGTGTAAGAACAAGGCTTTACTAAATGTGAGCTGTCTCCTTTTATTCTACCTCCCCCAAACCATTGGCCCAGGCTTGAGTATATGCGGAATAAATAAAGCAATTTGATCTGGTGTGTGGACAGCTGGTGGTTGGGATAATTGATGCCTGAGACTGGAGGCCCCTGGGATTAGGAACAGACCACCTGGCCAGCCTCCTTGCTACTCCGTTCTGCTGAGGCCACAAGGGGGCAGCATGCAGCATTTCCCCAAGCCTCAGGGAGGTGCCCTGTCCAACACTTACCCCAACTTGAGACAATTCTAGGAACTACCAGGGTCCTAGGTCCTGAACCCCCTCTTCCGTAAGCCCCTTAACTTTTGAAGCCAGGGGAATCCCTGGGGCCACTGAGGGCTGGAAGCACTATCCAAGTATTACATTAGGATAGGTTCTCAAATTTTATTTATTTTTTAAGTAATCTTTATACTCAACATGGGGCTCGAACTCATGACCCCGAGATTAAGAGTCACATGCTCCACCGACTGAGCCAGCCAGGCACCCCGGTTCTCAGATTTTATAAGGACTTTCTGACAGCCCAAATTCATTCAAGGCCCTTCTTAACCCCTCAGCTTTATGTCTTTCCACTCTCCTCTCTCCTGCACTCTTTGCACACTCGGTTACTCACTGGTCCCTGAGCTCACCTCCTTGTTTTCAGAATGTACTGGCCCCATTGCCTGGAATGTCCTTTTATTTCTGTTCCACTTACTGATCTATACATCCATCAAGGCCCCATTTAAATGGCCCTTGCCGAGAAACTTCTAACTCCTGGGGCAGGGTCTACAAAGACCTCTTCCATGCTTCTACAGCAATGTCTACAGCCTCGATTATTTGTGCTCGTATCCATAGTCACTCAGCAAATATTTCTTTGGCACTTCCTGTGTGTCAGAAATTGTTTGGAACGTTGTAAAAACAGCTAAAAATTAGCCGGATGAAGTTTGGGCTATCGTGGAGCTTATATTGGGTTGGGGGCTGGGAGAGAGGGTGAATGGGAATGGGAGAGAGAGAGACAATAAACACAAGACAGTTAGGCTCTGAGGAAACCCCCTATCACTCTGTTAGAATTTTCTGGGTTTGGCTCTCTTCCTCACAGATGGTCCTCCTCTAGTCCAGAGTCTTCTCTGCACCTCCACAGCCCAGCACAGGGCCCGGCACCAGGAGGATGGCAGTGACTGATGAAGAGTGAATGAACAGATGAACCATGAGAGACTATGGACTCTGAGAAATAAACTGGGGGTTCTAGAGGGGAGGGGGGTGGGAGGATGGGTTAGCCTGGTGATGGGTATTAAAGAGGGCACGTTCTGTATGGGAAAAAAAAAAAAGAAAGAGTGAATGAACATAAACCCTTCCCCGAAGACAGGGCTTCCAAACCTGTGCCCATTCCCACTGCTACTCGTTTGCTCTTGCTATTGTTTTTTTTTCTTGTTAATTTTTTTTTTTTTATTGAGCAGTGATAATATGCTAGGCAGGCGTATCAGATGAAGATTATTCTTTTAAGAAATTTCTGTGTAGGAGGGGTGCCTGGGTGGCACAGTCGGTTAAGCAGCCGGCTCTTGGTTTTGGCTCAGGTCGTGATCTCAGGGTCGTGAGATGGAGCCCCGCGTTGGGCTCCACGCTCAGCACGGAGTCTGCTAGAGATTCTCTCTCCTTCTCCCTCTGCCCCTACTGCTCATGCTCGCTCACTCTCTCTAAAATAAATAAATCTTTACAAAAAATTTCTGTGTAGGAAAATATATTTAAGGTTGATACCTGATGGATGATCTCATTTCATCTTCACATCCTCATAAGGTAGGTATTCTCGTTTTCTAAGTGAGAAACTGAGTCTCAGAGAGGTTAAGAAATTACCCAAGGGCACCAGCTGGTTGAGTGGAGCCAGGAGCTTCATGAAACCTCCTGTCCCAGCCAGCTCAGCCCCCCTGGTCACTTCCCCTGTGTCCAGTGATTCTTTTCCTAGAGAGAATGAGAGCCCCCTCCCCAGGTAGGGACTTAGCTTTTGTCTCACTGCTCCAACCATCCATACAGGCCTCGGTAAGGTGGCATCTGACCTCCTAGGAGGAGGGGGCCCTAGAGTAGAGGTCAAGTGCCCATTCGCATGAGCAAGTTGGGTGTGGCCTCCCCAAGGCCTCTGAGCTGGGCTGGCAGTGTTACTCCCTGGCTTTGGTGCTGGGCCACTCTCATGGCCTAGGAAGAGGGGATGGGAGGACAGTAAGGCTGGAGCCCAGGAGGGGAGAACCTAAGCTGGGTCCCAGCCGGGCCAGGCTGGACTGGGTTCCTCTGGCTGGCTGGCTGTTGCTGAGGAGCAGTCCCAAATAGCCTGGCCTCCTGCTGCAGCCTGGAGCCCCATCGCCTCTCCAGCTCCCCAAACCTCCCCCAAGCCCCTGTGCCTCTTTCTTTCAAGTGAAGTTCTGAGACAGAAGTTTCTAAGATCTTGTATGTGTCAAAATGTCTTGATTTTGCCATTTATTTGAATGATGGTTTGGCAATGTATGGAATTCCAGGTTCAGAATTATTTGCCCTCAGCACTCTGAAGATTCTATTCCATTGTCTTTTTTGGCATCTGTTGTTGCTGATGAGATGCTTACTGTCAATTCAATTATTGGACCTTTGTAGATAAGCTATCTTTCTCTCTCTGGTGGCTTTTAGAATTTCCTTTTTATTCTTGATATTCTACACTTTGGCTAAAAGGTGTCTAGGTGTAATTTTGTTTTGTTTTTAAAGATATCTTACTCGGCAGTCTGAGCCTTTTCAATCTAGAAATTCACGTCCTATTTCTGGAAAGATCTTACTCTTTCCAGTAACTTTTTCTGGAACTAACATATGCTGGGGTTTCTCATTCAATCTTCGATGTCTCTTTTCTTTCATATGTTCAGTCTCTTTATTGTTCTGTGCTTTGTTCTGGAGGATTTCCTTAGTTCTAGTTTCTAATTCACTAATTCTCTCTTCAGCTGCATTTATTCTACTAATCCATCTATTGATTTCTTTTTTTTTTAAAGATTTTATTTATTTATTTGACAGAGAGATAGAAAGAGCCAGAGAGCACAAGTGGGGGGAATGTCAGAAGAAGAAGGAGAAGCAGGTTCCCCATTGAGCAGGGGAGCCTGATGAGGGGCTTGATTCCAGGACCTTGGGATCATGGCCTGAGCCAAAGGCAGACACTTAACTGACTGAGCCACACAGGCATCCCTATTGATCTCTTCTTTAATGTCAGTGACTTTAGTTTTAATTTCTAGAATTTCTAGATAGTTCTGTTCATATCTGCTATGTGGTTTGATATCTTTTTGCTCTTGTTTTATAGATGCTATTCCTTCCTTTATCTTTTTGAAGATTTTAACCATATTAAACTTCCTTTCAGATTGCTCCATTATCTCTAGGTCTTTAAGTATGAATTCTCCCATGAGAGAGGTGCCTCTTAATATATTGTACTTACTTTTTCTTATATGTTGTGAAGTTTATCCCTGAGATAGTTATTTTCAGCACATTTTCCTGACTACCTTGAGTGTAGAGGCCACCCTAAGGGATGATTTTTCAGTTGAATCTGCCCAAGCCATGTGGATGTGCACCAGTCCCAAACTAGTTCTTCTTTGGGATTTTTCTACCCAAAGCCAAGACCAGGAGGCTAGCAGGTAGAGATATTTTAGTCCTGCTTATGGCAGGCAGCACTTCCCAGACCCAGCATTAGCCAGGGAGCCTGCTGTAGCCCCTACCACTGGTGGGGTTTGCAACTATACCTTCCATCCTGCTGAATGCCTCCTCAAAGGTACAGCTTCCACTCCTACTCCCCACCAGAATTCCCTGTCATTTCTGGCCCTTAGAGATTTCTCATTCTCACTTTTGAGTTTGGATATGTATTTTTAAAAGTTACCCAATCTTTCAGTGAAGTTATCTAGTATTTCAGGAAAGAGGGACTTTAATATGTGTTCAATCAAGTTCGACCTGGAAGTTACACTCTCTGGGCCTCCCACCCCGGTCATTGAGTCCCCGGTCTCCCTGCTGAGCCCCCATTCTCCTCTCTGGACCCCTAGCTCCCTTACTAGGTCTTATCCCTTTTCTGAACCACCTTCTCTGCCCCTCGATCTGCAGTCCCTCCCACTAACATCATCATCTCCTCTGAGCCCTCGTCCAAGCTTCCCCCAACAATGGAGCAGGGATCAGGGAGGCTTTCTTCCACTGCACTTCAGCAACTCAGAAATGTCCTTCCTCCTAATTTTCCAACCAAGTCTGCTGTCCCAGCTGCTCTCACTGAGAACATGGAGCCGACCAGCACACCTGCAATAGTAGGAGCACCTTCTGCATGGTCTTCCAGGGGTTGGGGGTCAAAGAAGAAGAATCCTGAAGGCAGAGGAGTAGCTGCAAGAGAAGGGTTGGTTTTGACTTTCAATTCCACACCCCCTTCTCCCTTAGTGTCTCCTCTTTGTGGGCCCCCCTCCAGCCCTGAGGATCAATGGGGGTTCACTTTCGCTGAGCTCAGCGACACCACTCCCTCCCCACTTCCTGTGCCTCTGAGCTCCCTGGCCCAGAAGACCTGCTTGTCTGGGCTGGCGACAGCTCAGTGGCACCCAGAGATCTTGGGGGATAGAAACTCCTCTGGCCCCTCCAGGACCTCCCACCTGCCAGGTGGGCCTACTGGCCTCACTAGGGAACAGAAGCAGGCCTGATCCTTCTCTCATACTTCCTCCTCCTGCTTACAGTGGAGTGGAGCCCCAGAGGGAAATCATGCACGTGATGCCACCACCCCAGGAGCACCGTGTACTCCAAACACCTCCTCCTAGGAAGCCCTTCCAGATTGAGAAGAGCTGCTAGGACTACGGACTTCCCACAGCATCTCCCCTGTCCACCCGCACCACCCACATACCTGAAGAGCAGTAAGATGAATGGTTCACGTGTGTAGAGCTCCCTGCACGATCATGACTTTTTTATGCATTCAGTCTTCCCGATAGCTGGGGAAGGTGGGGCGGAGGTGGAGTGACTTGCCCAAGGTCGCCAGCTAGTCCAGAGGAAGAGCCAGGAAGCCCATCCATGACTCGTGTTTCATTGTTCTTTCTGCCCCTGGCACTGCCACCTTCCCCGGGTGCTGATGCCTCTAATTCCACCCTTCCTGAGCCCTCTCCTGCAGAGCCCCAGCCTCTGCAGCATGCCCAGGCTAAGGCCTTGGCCAGACTGTTTCCTATCAGGCCAAACTGGACCCTCTGGCTTAGCATTCAAGGCCCCAGGTGTCCCCCTTGCCAAGCTTACCCTTCCTTCCCCTTGCTCTATAACTTCCTCCCCACCCCCACCCCCCACCTACACACACACACACACACACACACACACACACACACACACACACACACTACAGCACAGGGGTAGAGAGCTAGATTAGGCAAGTCTCTTCACCGACCCTCAGTCTTCTTGTCTGTGAAATGGGGATGTAAGTAGCACTACATCACAAGGTGGTTGGGGGTGCTGATATAAGACAATGCAGGTAAAGCATTGTCCCCCCAAAGTCCCCTCAGCCCCCCGGCCCTGATCCCAGGATCCCAGTGCCCAAGCCTTAGCATTTAGTCCGAACCTCAGCCCCAGGGCTGCAGGCATTACTGACTGCACTTCTCTGCACCTCCCCAAGTCCTCCATACCCCTGTCCCCTTCTTCGGACATTGCCAGTGGAGACTCTTCCCTCGTCTGACCTCTACCAGCCCTCGGAGCTGTAAGAAAACCCAGGGGGTTTCTGGGATGTAGAGAGGGAAGCGTAGGAGGTCTGGTGGGTGGAAACTTGACCCCCCTCCTCAACCCCAATTCAAGCAGAGCACTGCTGTTTTAATGCTTTTTACATGTTGAGGTGCTACTTCACGATTCCATTGCTAATAAAGTCTGAAAACCATTGCCTTAAAACCCCCATCCCACTCCAAGAAAGGAATCTGCACCTTTGGTTGACTTGAGGTCACACTGGTGGCTGTTAACAATCAATGACAGGCTTGAGCCTGGCCCTGGGACCCAGGTCCCAGCCACTTCTAGACCTGAACCCTTACAGACCTGGGAGTCTCCACCCTTGGCAGGAGAGAGTCCTAGAGAACGGGACTGGGCCATCTACAGTTCCCCTCAGCCCCCGGCCCTGGTCCCAGGATCCCAGTGCACAGTAGGTAGGTGCCAGCCAGCAGGGAGGACAGGTCACAGTTCTGGGGTTACCCACAGGCTGTGTATCCTTCAGTGATTCCCTGTACCTCTCTGAGTCTCAGCTTCCACACATGCGAATGGCTGCTCTCTGTCCCAGACGGGGCAGGGCCTGGCACCCAGTTGGTGCCCCGCAAATGGGAGCTCTCCCTCCCCACCCTTCCTCTCAATCAATACTTGCTCCATTGATGGATGATGGTGACAGTGATGAACTACAGGAGATCCTGGAGCCCTGCCCCCTTCTTCTTGTACAGATGGAGAAACTGAAGCCCAGAGTGGGGAAGGGGCCTGCCCGGGTGGCACAGTGAGTCTGGGCAGAGTGGAGCCAATTCTGGCAATGTCACCAGGGAGAGATTCAGGGGCTGGGGGTGGGGGTGGGAAAGAAGCTGCTGAGGGTGGGGTGCAGGGAACAGGTGGGAGAGAGGGAGCAAGGGGGGGAGGGGGTAAACCACAGCCACCCCCCCCACCCCTGCAGCAAGGAGGCAGACTGAGAGAGCCTGAGACAGCTGTTTGCTCAGAAAAGTGTCTTAGTCACTAAAGGCTGCAGTGGGGAAAGTCCATCCTCCCAGTCATGTCCTGGGAATCCGGGTGGGGGCGGGAAGGCCGCCGGGTGACCCTCACAGGGGCCACCTGTCCTCTTTGAACCAGACTTTCTCCTCTGCTTCCTCCAGTCCCCATGTGTGTGTGTGCATGTACACCCCCCCCAAATAAACTGCTTATGGCCTCCGAGGACCGTCTTCTCCTTTCCCCTCACCCCTTAAGAAGAGTTCCATGTCTTTCCACTTTAAAAAGGAGTGGGGCTGTCCCTCCACTCATTAGACACACACCTGCAGAAGAAACAGGCCTCTGTGTCCTATGAAAGTCCTTCCTGAGATCTAACTTCCATCCCTCTAGCTGCAACCATGGTCTCCTTCCTTTTCCTGCTACCTGTGAGGGGGGTAATCTGGAGCTGGAGTTGGGAAAGATGAGGTGGGGCCCTCTCCCGGCAGTGAGGGCTCCTCACAAAGAAAGGAAGAGACTTTTTCAGTCCCCCAAATGGGAAGAGAATTGTGGGGTCCAGAGGTGATGCTAAACGTAAGGATCAGATTTCCAGGAACAGACCCAATTTCAGATATTCTGGGTGTTGGTAAGGGCAGTCTGCGCTCAAGTGGAGTTTCTGCCACAGAAGGGCCTCAAAAAGACCCCAAGGAAGACTCCCAAATCCCTTACAACTGCTTTTCTTTCCACCTACCGTTCAAGTTCCCAGACCTTAGTCCCACCCTCCAGGACCCCTGATTGATGAAGCCTAGACAGACAGTCCCATAGAGTCGGGTAGGGCGGTGCCACGGCTAGGGGCTGCTGGTTTTAGCCCACAGGGAGAGGATGGGTTAACCCAGTCCAGGCATTGCATCTGTAGCTGGACCCTGGGGTCCAGAAACCTGCCCCAGCTACAGTGAGGTCGGGGCATAACCTGCCCAGAGGCATCAGGCTCTGGCCCTGGGCACACGTGGAGCCTAGAGCGGCAGGAAAGATTCAGGTCAGACCCCAGAAGGCACCCCTTGTTATGCAGAGGGAAAAGGGTCACTGTCGGGGTCGGGGTGTGGGCCGGCTGCCAAGCTCAGCTTGGGGACCCCTCAGGTCCCTGCAACCCCCTCCCCGCCGCCTGCAGATCTGCCTCCCTCCCTCCCCCCCCCACTGGGCGCTCAGCAGATCAATGCTGCCTTTGCTGACAGCTGAGAATCGAGCTCGCCTTCCCGCCCCCTGCCCCGCCCCTCCCGCTCGGCTCCGGCCCCCGAGAGACTCCCGGAGGAACGAGAAGAGTTTGCTGCGGAAGCCTTCACCCTGGGGCAGGGCCTGCGGGGGGAGCGGCTGGTGTGGCCGAAGCTTCTGTCAGTGGAAGAGGGAAGGAGGATCGGGAAACCCAAATGACCGCTCTGTGCAGAGCCGAGAGGGCTAAGGGGAACGAAAGGGCTGCCCCCTACTGCTAGGGAGAGGAGGTCAGGCACCAAGAACTTTCCAGCTGGAGAGGCAGTGCGTGGGAAAGAGTCTCCGGTTTTGGGGTGGGATTCTGCGGGCCTCTGGGGAGAAGTCGTCCAGCCCGCCGCGCGGGTTCAGAGCTCACCTCCCAACACGCACGTGCCCTGACCCTGACCCTGGAGGCAAGGGAGCGGTTCAGACTGGGTTGGCGGGGCGCAGTCCCCTCACTCGGAGGAGACTCTTCTTTGGGGCGGCGTGGTCAGCCTGGGGGGCTCGTCCCCCAACCGGAAGAAGGCAAGTTCCGACGTGGGGGTGGGGGGGAGGAAGAGCGGACACACCCGGGGTCCACTGTGCAACACACTGTGACACAGCTCGGCAGCGCTTGGACAGCAGGCCTTTCAGGTAGGAGCTGCTCACCGAGCCACACGCGGCACCCGCACACTTTTACACATGCCGCCCGGCGCACTAAGGGCACGACCCGACGACGGGGCACGCCTCCTCGCTAACACCACCACCACCACCCAGCGGGGCCTGGACCGTGCACACTCATCTTCACACCTATCCACACAGTGCCCACGCCACGCACCTGCACGGACCCTATCCCGTCCCCGCGCGCACCCACAGCCACCCGCGCTGCACGCACGGGGCACGCACTTCTGCAGCCACTCACACCTAAACTCCATGGGACGCCGAGTCCGGTCCACGGCCGCGGCCCCCACTCCCCACCCCACGCCCCACTTTCCGCAACCCCACGCGAGGCGTCCCACCCCAGCCCGGCCTTCGGGTCCCGGCTGCCCCTCGCAGCAGTGCACGCCACTTGCACGCGGCCAGCCCCCGGGGGCCGCCGCCACGCGGTCGGGTCCCGGCACCGAGTCGGCGGCCCGCGCGGCCGGTGCGCCCAGCCCCGCCGCCGGCTCCGCGCGCCCCCCTCCGCCTCGCCGCGCCCGCCCGCTCGCTCCCTCCCGATTTGGGAAGGCGGCCGCCGGGCGGGCGGGGGCGGCGGGGGAGGGGCGGGGCGGGGGAGGATGACATGTGAGCGGCGCGCCTGAGGCAGGTGGAAAGGCGAGCGGCATGGAGCGCGTAATAAGAGAGTTGGAGTCGGAAAGAGCCGCCCCAGTCGCCGGGGAAGCGGGCGGTCAGTGCGGGCTCCGGCGGCCCCCAGGCTCCGCGCGCCCGCCCCCGGCCCCCGCGCCACCCCGGCCCGGCCCCTAGCCCCCCGCCGCCCGCGCCCGCCCCGGGCCACCCCCGCCGGGCCC